TTTTTACTGTAGATCTTCAGTAAGTTCCTTGGGCTTTAACAGTTCAATCTAGTGAGTGCTGTAAGCCAAATCCTTTTTATGCTGGCAAAGAGAAACTACCACTTGCAGTCAGTCATGATCACTAATGAGAAGTTAATAGGCCTTGGCCTTTCATGTTAAAAGACACTGTGAAACCTTCAATGCCACTTTTTAAAATATTTAAGTAGGGATAGGTATCGTTTAGATTTTATCCAATACCGGTGCCAAATCGGTATTTTTGAAACGGTGCCGGTGCTTAAACGGTGCTCGAACCGGTGATTAAAGAATGGAGAACACAAACTTTGTCCAAAAACCTTGTAACTACGACGGTGTTTGCTAGTTCACCTTGCATGCATTAATATAATAACGTTGTTAGCGTACTTAACGTAAATTACACACGAACAACATTAAGCTACTCGCCCAGAAAAGAACAGCTGATGCTGCCATCATCATCCATCGTCATTTCTGCTACACTGGTAGGGCTAGGGGCTGGGACTCTCCCCTTCGGGTTCTTGGGAGATGTTGCTAACTCCAGGTTAAAAAAACAAAACAAAAACGCTATGCGTTGCAAGGTGTTTCATCAGATTCGAGGAGTTACCTCCTTTGCACAGTATCACCTTAAAGCACTTGCTGCAGGCTGCTGAGTTTGCGTCTTTTGCTGTGAAGTACAGCCAGACTTTGACCGCTTCGCCTTGGCCATTTGTAATCTGTAGCTCTGCTATAAAAGAACGTATGTACATGGGCCCGCCTACTATCCTTGGAAAGGTAAAGTGATTGGCTATAATCCAAAGTGTATGACATCTCAGGGAAAAAAAGCAAAATGTGCGCTGCTTTTCGGTCTGGTTACTACTGTTTATGTCAGAACCGTGCCATAATGGCACTGGATACCGGTACCCATCCCTATATTTAAGGGAGTGTATGTATATATTTAAGCATGTATGCATACATTTGACACTTTGTGGGGATAGAGAGGGGGGGAAAAGAATCCAAGAAAGTAATTGAAAGTCCAAACTTACCATGACATTGACACCTACGATGAGTGGATGTAAACTTCTTACCACAACTGTATGTGACAGCAAAGAGGTGTACCCGCAGCCATGTCTATTTACATTCATATTAGCCTTTGTTGTTACATACAGGGAGGCAAACAAACAACATGTGCGCTGCCAGAAGTGTTTGGAGATGGGACACTGGACCTACGAATGCACCGGGAAGAGGAAATATGTGCACAGGCCATCAAGAACGACTGAGCTGAAAAAGAAACTCAAGGAAAATGAAAACAAACCCCTCAGCATAGCTGGGTAAGGTGTCTTGATCAGATTAAGCAATTTTATGTACAACAATACCTCTGTGTTAATATAGATATTTGTGCATCTGATTTTTTTTTTCTAATCACTTATGATGTTCATTAAAAATCTTTTTTTTTTGTTTTAAATATTGGTCTCTACAGACCAGGCACAGAAGGCTCCAGTGAGAAGAAAGTGAAAAAGAAGTAAGTAAGGTGGACCAACTGTCACAACTGATATGATGTAGTTATCAGACCTGCTATAAAGTAGGGTTGCACAATTATTATTTATTTTATTCTTTTTTTTTGGTACCTCCATGATGTCTGTGAATAAATTGTGTAGCAAAGTAGTGGAACGTGATTTCAGTGCATCTTTGCGAGCTTTAAGAATATGCCAATGGGCCTTGCAGGCTCACATTCATGGACATCGGAGTTGAGGTTGGACTTGCGTTACAAGAATAAGTCCTGCTTTCCAACACTGGCCTGTGGAGTTGCACAGTTCATGTATTACATTCCTAAAAAAATTACTTATTACACAAAATGATACTGGGTAACATTCATAGCAGAGAAGAATGGTTAGATTACGGTTTTGCAATTCAACAAGTTTTAGACTGATTAATTTCCGGGGGAAAATTTGCTCAGCGAGGGATTCCAGGAAGGTGCTGGCATCCCTGAGTATGTGTTTCGGAGCTGCTTCCCTGTTTTGAAGCTTTAATTAAAACCAGTCTGTTTTAAGTGAGTGAAACGTCCCTAAACGGCTCCCTCTTGTGGAAGCTCTTGGTGACTGCACATCACTACATTTGCAACCTTTTCAAATCTCTTAAAGATTGCAGTGTTTTGTCTCATAGCCATAATGTCTAATCCATCAACCTAACTGTTCTAAATGTCATCTGTGGTAATCTTAAACACTTTGTTTATCCGTTGAAAATGCATTAAAACTTTTATTTAATTTTTTTAATGGTAGATTCTGGTCTCATCACAGCGATGTGTTAGAAACACCATTGTTGTAGTCTGAGCTGTGATCACAGCAAAAGCACAGTTGTTACTAATAACAAGTCACAATGTCTCTGTTTTGTTCTCCCAGCATGTGCAAAAACAGGACTGTGAAACTGAAGCAGTTACACCAAAACCTGTTGTTTTTTGTTTTGTTGGGGTTTTTTTTGTCTTTTCCTCCTTGACACCTTTGCGTTTCTTACTGCGACAGCCATAAAACAGCCACAGCACTCCTTTCAGCTGAGGACTCTTTATCTTTCCCAAATAAATTAACCTTCTTCTTTTTGAGAGCAGTAAGAGCGCCCGTTTGGGTCTATTTAACTGAAGCTTGACTCAAGAGTTTGCCCCCTGGTGGTAAGGGTGCCTGACACAGCAATCATTCAATGGGTGTAAAAGCATTATAAGAATGTGTGTGGTTTTTTAAAAAAAAAGTGTCACTTGAATGCATTTTAAACCAGAGTCGACTTGAAAAACCTCTCAAAGTTCTGCTGTCCCAAGTGTTGTGACTTTCTTAGTCTTGCTTGTTTGTTTGAGGGTCGGAGGGGAGAATGCCATCAAATCCCATCAGTACCAGACATAACAGGGGTATATGAAAGTAGCTGTTGAGAATTATAACACTGTCACTCCCTGCTCATAAAAGAGGCAGATAAAGGCCTTATTATCAGAGAGCTCATCGTGCGACTGTTCTGGTCTGTTCAGCATCCAAAAGGAAAACCGTAAAATCGTTGTCACGTGTGCATCCGCGAAGTCTGCGTGACACCCAGCTGCACCAATTTCCCCATCGTGGAAAAAATGCAGCTTACATGTATTATCTCATCATGCTACACGTGTGAAAGGGCAACTCTGGATAATGTCCCAACCCACATTTTCCTAGAATTCGCGTGTGAGAAAACAAATTGGTGTGCAGGTAATGTTCCAGGTATGCAAAATCAGCACTTGTAGTTGACGTTGTGTCCTCTGAGTTCCAGTGTTTGTAAACAGAGTATTCCAGCAAGTGAGATGCACCTTAGGGACTGTAACAGGTACAGCCTGAGACCTTAATAACCAAACCTCTGGTGTTCAGCGTTGGATATTCAGATTTTCCTCCACTTGTTCTCAGGGCTAAAGACTCGAGCGACAGCAGCAGCGGCTCAGGCGGCTCCTCCAGTGACTCATCGTCAGACAGCAGCGATTCCTCCAGCTCCTCTTCAGATGACAGCAGCAGTGACAGCGACGATGACAGCTCTTCCTCCTCCTCCTCTTCTTCGTCCTCCTCATCTTCGTCCTCAGACAGCTCAGACTCAGGAAGTAGCAGCGATTCGGATCAAGGACCTCCTAAGAAGAAGAAAAAGAAGAAATAAACATTGTGGAATCAGCAGGATTTCTTGTTGTTATTTTTCTTTTCCTGATTTTTTTTTTTTCCTCCTTATTAAAAAAAACAACAACAACTGAGTGGATATGGACTAAGGAGAGGAGACACGATGTCACAAAAGAGAGAAATAAGGCAATTCCAGTGTTACTTCTACTAGTGGGATATTTTCTTCAATTTTTAGGTCTACTAAGGATACAAACTTTAAATATCCAAAGCAACGAATGTGATTAATCAAATGAAATCTTGTGATTTTGTACTTTAGTATATTTTTAGTGAAACTTAATCTGTACAGTTCAAAATCTTTATAAAACAGCAGCAGATCTAGAACTGAAGACATGATACAACCTCAGTATAAAAGATTATATAACAGTTGTGTTTTAGTCTGAATAAAATTAGTTACGCACACAAAAAACTCTTGTTGCTCGGGAATTGGATTTGCTTGTTTCACTGTAAAGCTTGTTTTGTTTTTTTTGTTTTTTAAAACCTTTTTGAATTTGCTATTGTAAAATATTTTATTTTGCTAAAAAAAAAGAAAAACGCATTATATGATTTTAGATATATGGATTTAGGAATAAAATGTCAAATAAACAGTCTTTTTGTTCACGAGTTTACAAATAAAATATTTTTTAAATCAGCATATAGTCATGTGAAATACAGGTTATTGTAGTTTTGCATTTTCTAATTCATTTCATTTTCACTTTGTTTTCACGTTTAGTTGCCGTTAGTTTTCAGAGAGGATTTTCTTTCTTCAGTTTAGTTTTTTTCAGTTTATCATTTTAGTCTTTTTATTATCAATATAGGGAGGGGATATGTCAGTTTCAGGAAAACCAAGGATTGCAGTAAAAACAAAGCTGACTCGGTCTTGACATCTAGAGTCTTAATAAACACATCCATCAATGCCTCATCAGGCAAGTTGTAACAATTGTTTTTTAAACTTAGGGTGTTTCCTGAATATGCTTTATTTTATTTTTTAATAAAAGTGTTTAGTTTTAATTTTTAGCTAGCTATAATAACCTTAATCGGCACATAACAAAGAAAAACCCATCTTGTGTCAGCAGGTCTTAAAATTATTCAACACAACCTCATATGAACGACACATGACATAGTAAATCATTTTTAACCTTAGCCAAACTACAGAAGCAGTGTGTGGGAAAACCAAGTATACCCTATGATTCAGTAGCTTGTAAAACCGCCTTTAGCAAGAATAAGTTGAAGTAATCATTTTCTGTATGACTGACAGTTGCTTACGTTGTGGAGGAATTTTGGCCCACTCTTTTTTCCTTTCTTTCTTTTTTTTTTACAGTGTTGTTTAATTTCATTGAGGGTTGCCGTTGCATTGCGTTTGTTTATGCTCAACTTTCCTGCTACAGCATTTCATCAGGATGAGGTCTGCGCTTTGACTCGGCCATTGCAACACCTCGATTCTTTCTTTTTTTTCCAGTTATTGTGTTGCAGATTTAATGCTTTGCTGTCAATGTCCTCTTGCACAACTCAATTTCAGCCAAGCTTTAGCTGACAGTCACATGGTTTCACCTTTTACTCAATGACTGCAAAGTTTCCAGGTCCGGTGGTTGCAAAAATACCTCAAATCTTCAAACCTCCACCACCATGCTTCACAGTTGGTGTGAGGTGTTGATATACTAGTTCAGTTCTAAGTTTACAGTGCGTATTATGGCCAAACATCTTCACTGTGTACTGATATGTTTAAGGAGTTTGCTCTTGTGGTTTGTTTAGATGCAACTTTGCAAACTTAAGCTGTGCTGGCCTGTTCTTGTAAGAGAGAAGAAGCTTTCTCCGGCAACCCTTCCAAACAAGACATACTTGTTCAATCTTTTTGTAACTGTACTCTCATGAGCTTTAACATTTAACATGCTAACCAAGGCCTTTAGAGTCTGAGATGAAGCAGGGTGTACTTAGTTTCTCACACGTTTTGGTTTTTTGACTCAATTTTTGATGAATAAATAATAACAGTGTAATATGTCACGTTTTCAAGTTTAACTGAGGTTGCATTTACCTTATTTTAAGACCTACTAAGGACCAGATGTTATTTTACATTATGTCCTGATGCCTGAAACCTTAGAACTGAAAACGGATCCACTTCCTTCTTTTCATTCTATGTCCATGTCAGGCAGTATTAGTGGGAAGTGCTGTTGTCTTCAAAGATAATATAAAATCTTGTAAAATTATTGTTTTTGTAGTAATTAAAATATAAACATAGAGTTTAGCATCCAACACAGACAGTCAATAAGGTTACAGGACACCCAAAAGCTGCTTTGAGCCTTTTAACCAATGTAATGTCAGTTTTTGCTGCGTATAGGCACCTGTAAAGTCAGACATATTATTGCACATCCACTAAAGGTGTGAAGTTGGAGGCAGAGCAAGACATCACAAAGTAAGTCATTGTTTGAAAGATTAAAAATGAATCATATTACTATTTAAAACGTATTTACTTATTAATCATAGACGCGGGCAGCTAAATCTAGATAACTAGGGTGTGTGTTGAAGATTAGATGAGCTATGAATTAAAAGCAGGGTACGGTTTGTCATAACCTGCTGTCCATGGTACAATCAGGGAACAATGAAACGTGATTTCCTAAACGTCAAAGTCTGGTCAACCTTGCGCGTCACTGAAATGCTGCATTCACACCGAATGGGAATTACTTAGAGCTATCCGAGGGGTACGATAAAAAAAAAAATAAAACTCGCAACTGCTAAGAAGGCTCAATCGTGTTTTTAAAGACATCGTCAGCGGTGCTGACGTGTTAATTAAGATTTACTTTATGACAGTGTTTACTGTGTCGGATGGTGGGATTGACAGATTTCCGACTGCGCGAATGCACCACCGCTTTGCCATCCATGCATTCAGTCCTGTCTGTGGTGGTACCTGCTGGCTGCTTAACTTAGCTAGCAGTCTTACCTATCAGTTCAGGAGTAACAAAAAAATGAACGCGAGAGAAAATGATTTTTATTTTGTTTCCCTCTCGATGTGTCGTCGTGTTTTAAGGAAAAGATGAAGACCATCCACTTGGTTTTAGTATTTTAGCCGTTAGAGCATTTTTTTTTTCTGAATCCGTTTTGCGTGTAACTGGAAGTGGAAAAGACAAAGAGAAAAAGAGCTTTCCAATAGCTAGAATGGTTTGGGCCTAAAAAGAAGACAAGAGGTAAGGATGCCAACTTTGATGGAAGACGTTAGTTGGTGTTTTACTGCATTAGAGGGTATCTGATATTTGAAGTGAACGCTAATTAGAATTTCGCCAAAAAAAATCAGTAGCTTCAGGGCTAGCTAGCCTAGCCTTAATACGCTACTAGCAGGGTCCGGCTAGCTAACGTTATGCTAAAGCAGATATGCAGGTAGTCGTGTAGGTAGCGTGCTAGCCAGTTGCTAATGATTTGGTTAGACATTGTACCTGCTTTGGTGTTCTGGTGGAAGGAGACTTTAATTATTCGATGGATGGGAAGGGTAGATGTTACTTTTATACGTTTCTATGCAAGGAAGTAGGGGAAAATATCGCGGTGATAGGAGTAATGTTTTTGTTCCTGTCATGGCAGCTAACAGGTCATGACGACTGATGTTTGTGTTTATCCGTGGCTGACATAACTTGTACACCTAAGTTTGCTCTTACAGACGGCGGCATAACTATATGATACTACACGTGCAAATGATAAACATACTATGTTTCCTTTGCATTTGAAATACAGACTATTCGCTCTCCATTAAAAAGCATCTGGGGAATCAAACAATGGGACATAAGTGCTACTTGTTTGTACTTTCTGTGCTAGTTTATGGTCGTTTTAGGTAATCATTGGCTCTTGATACTCGTTATTTTTCGCACAGTGACGACGAGCATAAAGTTTTAGGTTCGTATCCTCCTCCTTTATTGTATTACTAACTCCTAGTGCCACTCCTTGCTGTGTCCAGTCAAAGTCTTTATTTGCATGGAAAATCAACACTGGGGAGAAGGGCAGCACAGTTAATCCGAATGTATGCTTTGGTTGAGCGAAGGATCAGCTGATGTGCTTTTCTAGGAAGCCATTTTACGTGCCATAGTTAGGGGGGAAGGGCCAGAAAATGCGTGATAAGTCCAGAGTTCCTCTTAACACTTGTCACGGGTAGTTCATGCACGCATGTGGAGGGATGGGCTTGACGCATGGAGACAAGGAAAGTGCAACCAACTGACTTATTATGGTTGGCTGCACTTAGTCGGGAGGGGGGACGAGTTCATGCCCTAAGGTCATGAACTCGTTCACGGCAGGTAGCTGTGAACCGGCTCAGCAACTTTAGTCAGATGGTGGATGGAGCAAAAGCTGTACTTGAACTGTGGTTGCAGTTGTTGATTTGTTGTTATGTAGACATAACAGGAGTGTTGATATTGCAGTCGGATTCAATTATGTCAGAGAAAAAACTCTCTTCCCCCCCCCCCATACAGTGGAGTGAGCTGCAGTACTTGGCTGGTTTAGGACAACTGCTGTTTTATATTCAATAATTTTCTGAAAATGCCAGGCAATAGTGCAGTCTGAAACTCCAGCTTCCACTCTAGAAGATAAACAAATAGTAAATAAAGTTGGGGTTTTTATAGCAAAAAAATGGACCTTTGAGAGGTGATTATACACTATGACTAGACTACATTACAGGCAGCTTTTAACAAATAATGAGTTTATTGCATTAGTAAATTACACCTCATGTCTCACCGACGTGGTGATTTTCCTCTGGTACAAGGCTAAAACCTCTTCTGTGTGCGCTGTTAAGTAGTTTAACTACAGTGTAGCCCTTGGTTTGCGCTCTTACTGTATTTTAATACACAGAAGGTCACCCACTTGTTTGACTATACAATTGAAATACTCTTAGTAGCAGCTTGAAACATAATGCCATCACCAGGCTTGCTTGAAGAGCTGTGTTGATGGCAGTAAGTTAGAAAGCTGAACTGAAGTGTTGGAGCTACTTCAAAGGTTGTAGACGGAAAATTAATCCAGGTAAAACATGCTATTTTAAACTGTTAAAAATAGCTCATATATGTGTCATGCCTTTGTTTTTAAATGAAAGTGTTGAGCAGAGAGATAAGGTTGATGCATGTGACTGTACATTGTCTGGATGTGATAGTCTTTGTTTTGGGTTTCCGGACACCGAAGCACCAAAGAAAACCTTAAGCATACTTGACATTCAACTGAGGCTAGATGACTTCTAGATACCAGCTTTGTTAGTTTAAAAGAATCTTTAAAAAGGGGGGAAAGGGTTCCTGGAGCAGCGATGTAAACACCTTGTTGGCAGTAATGTGTAAATGTGCTACTGGTGACGCGGCTTACTGTGAAATCCTCTTCACTTCCTGTTTGGGTTTTGCTGTGAGGCTTCAGTTTAACAGTTTCCCCTGTGGCCAAGGCGAAGGGCACACATTCAGTCGAGATGTTATGCGACTTGTTTGTCCGTTCCAGACAGAGCAGTGCATGCATGTTTTCTTTGGCTTTGGCACACCTATTGTACATTCCTGATGTACTCCACTGTTGTTTTGCTGGCTGGATATTTGGGAAGTGAGCAATGTCTAGTTTCAGACTGTTCAACTGCAGCCCATTGTACACAATTTCAAATCTGAGCACCTACATTTGAGGAAAATTAATCCAAAGCTTAGAATTTCCTCTTTAGCCACAATTTTAAAGAGAAAAGCTATTCTTCTGTTGATGATAGAAATGGTTTTAAGGTGTTGCGCTTGTCTGGTTTATGCATTGTGCAGATGTTACAGCTTTTTAGCATTTACCTTTTCCTCTTTAACCTGACCCAAAGTACAAGTTAATTGTGTGGTCAGCTAAGGTTTGTAAGTTTCATAATCAAATCTTATTTCCTGTACAAAGAGAAGCTTGTTGAGAGTAACTTGTTTGAAGGCTCTTTCTGAGTCTGCCAGCTTAATTAGCCCGAATCTAATCAGACATCAGCAGCTCTCTTTTTATCCCCCAGTACTGTTGCTCACGCAGCAGAGAAATATGCTGCTCACTGTGTCCTGACCTCATGCATCTGTTCTTCAGCTTTTGTTCTCAGCGATGCGAGTTAAACTCTCATGTGGCTTTACAGTCCTGTGAAGGTGAAGCTCATTAAGGCCATTTCATTTCACAGATCTGGCATAGATTGGTGCTGTGAGATACTGCTTTATAATACTATTTTTAAAGTGGAACGATAATAGCCTCAGTCTTTTTCGGTGGCAGCAGTAATATGTCTCATAGTAGTGAAATTCATTGCCACAGTATGTTCTTCTTGTTTTGTTTTAAGCAGGATAAGTGCTTTGAAGGAAATAACAAATGGATTAGGAACAGAAACAGAAACAAATCCCAGAGTCAGAGGTATGAATTTATGCAATACGCAGATAAAATGTGGATTTTGTAGATTTATATTGTTAAGCGTCTTATGTGAACATTTTGCATAAATAATTGTCTACATTTTAGGGCTCAGCTGCCAGTTATTTTAATTATTGATTAATCTCATGGATTTATGTTCTTTCTTTCTTTTATAAAATGTTGAAAAGTGCTTTGTATATATTTACACCCATTTCCTTGGTGATGCTTCAAATGTTCACATCAACAAGTGTGAAACCCAAAAAAGCTGAAACCAGCACATTTTTGATTAGAAATTACGAAAATTTCCGCTCAGTGCCCTTATCAAAAATATTTGCTGATTCATTTTTCGACAGCACTTCAGTTAATTGGCTTATCATTGCAGGTTTTCACTCCTCCATTTAACCACAGCTGAGCCTTTATTCTAGCTACAAGAGAGAGTTTATTTGGATGTTTGGAGGTTAGTGACAGACATTTCAGCTTTAGATGTAGTGCAGACTTTTCTCTGAGTAATACAGCTGAGACTGATGGATGGGAAATTGTTACACAGTAGAGAGAACTGCAGTCTTGTTTGACCTTTTATTAACTTCAGGAAATCTTTGCATGTTGTTACAGTTTTAGTTTGCAAAGTGCCTGCTGTTTTAAAGGTTAAGATTTAGTTTGACTGGATAATTGTAGTTTCTTTAAGGTAAAAAATGACTAACTAAGGAATGGTTTATTCTTCGGTAGATTGTTTCATCACACTAAAGGAAGGTCTGATAGACTCAAGATGGGTAGCTAAAACCTTATGAAATGCATATTCACGAAATGGCTTCTTCTCTCTCTCTCTCTCTCCCTCTCTCTCTCTGCGGTATAATCCATGTTGCTTAAATATTATTCGTATACTGCTGCTCAGTCTGCTGAGTTAAAAATCGTACAATAGATCAGAAGCAGGTTAAAAATGAAAAACCTCTTGACAGGCTTGTGTTGTGCCTTCTGAAGAGCTTGAATGACGCAGATCCTTTGGAAATGTTGCCAAGATAACTGAGGCTTGGGTGTCATGTTCCACTAACAATGTGGCCTAAAAAGTACACTGAACATTATGTTATCTGTGTCAAACCTGCAAGTGAGAGCATTTCTTTTGTTTCTGAGTTCACGTGACAATGTTTACCTAGGTAAAATCCAAATGAGCTTTCGAGCCTGGTACTTTTTAGCTTTGTTTGTAAGAGTTACTCTAGATTTTAGAGTGTATATTTTACCTACTACTTTACTTTGCCTCCTAGATACCTAAGTTCTTTAGAAGAGCTTTAGAAAAGCTTTAGAAAATGACTACTTTAAGTGTTTTTTATCTGTTTCACAGTGCCATGAAGAGACTGATTTACCGTTTTGCTCTTGGTAAACAGCTTTACTGAATGTTAAACATAAAAAGCTCCTAAATTAATATGAGTTAATTAGCTGTGTAAATGCACAACAGTCTCAGCACTGAGCCTGTGATTGGTAAATGCTGCCAGTTCCCTCTTATTCAGATAATGCACGCCTGCTGAGTGGAGGCTTTCCAAGCAGCGAGTCAGTTCAAATGCTTCAATCCTGCTTTAATGAAAGGACATAAGCAGTTGTTTAGAGAACATGCCAATCAAGACCCGAGACTTGTTTTGATATGCTAATTGGAGCTAATGTGCAGCCACATAGAAATATTGAATTCTTTTAATTGAAGCGGGAATTTAAGATACTGCCCTCTTCAAAAATTCCTCATCTGCACTTTGATATAAAAGTCTCAAGGAAAATCAAGCCCTTTTCTTTCCTCTTGAAATGCTGATACAGAAATCTGGCTTGCAGGGTTTTCTTAATGAAAAGTATTGCATGTTTT